AAGCCTTGAAAATTTAATTAAGATTTTTCTCCTCAGTCTGCACAATCTCTCTGGGAAAGTTCATCAAATGATTATTTAGAAACTGACAACATCCAGGTGGATCTGTGTTCTTTTCCTGAGCATCGCACTTGAATATTCAACTTCCTGCAGAGCATCTCCATGCAGTTGTCTCACTGACCCTACCGGTTCCAAATAGAACTAAAGGTTTTCTCCTCCACCTGTCTCTTCTTTCAGAACTCCCTATCCTCCCATCTCAGGTACCCTTAAGCTGTCTCCCAGCCCTCACTCCTGTCCCTTTGTTTCCATCTCTATTAATCACTGAATTTTGCAGGAATACAGCTGGAGGGCAGCATTGATGAGGCTGGGTATTTTCAAAGCGCAGTAGCTAAATTTACTAATTAGACATTTCAGATCCTTTGCCCATTCCGACAGTATGTATAAAATGAAGGTTTTGACTAATTGTGGATAACCAAAATAGCCTTAAATACCATCTACCCGCTCAATAATAAACTACTAAATATTAAGCCCTAAGATTTTCCTTTGTGTTCTAGACTGCTTTATACGTTATTTAGTTTGGGTTTGGGGATCTCAAAATTACCCATGTTTTAGCCGTTTAGGTGGGTGTGTCAGAATATTGGTTAGCTACGTAGACCGTGTGCTTTCTAGCGACAATGCCTGTAACAACTAACCTTTGCTCCAAATTTGCTCTGGGTTGCTAAATCAGTGAAATAATAGCCTGGTACTTTTTTGTTGCCATCTTTAGGTAAAAGGCCAAACCTGAAAGTCCACATCAATACCACGAGTGACTCCATCCTCTTGAAGTTCCTACGTCCAAATCCAAATGTAAAACTGGAAGGTTTTCTCCTGGGATATGGCAGCAACTTGTCACCAAACCAGTACTTCCCTCTTCCAGCAGAAGGGAAACACACGGAGGCCGTGGTCGGTAAGATGTGTGGGTTTCAGGCACGGGAAGAAGACAGGTCGCAGGTAATGGGCACAACACGAGATAGAAATCTTGAAGGCAGGCGTCCTTTCTTCCATTCTCAGCCAAACCAAATGCCAAAATTACAAGTTATCTTCATAATTGTAGTAATGGATACAGCACAGTTCTTTACATGAGAAAACATGGAATGCGTACTCTGCATGTACTGTGGAAATAATCAGCTTCATTGTCACTATACCGACAATCCCTGACCATAGAACTTAAATTGCATAGGAAAAAAAATGAGCTAAAATGCCTCGTTTTAGCCTATTTGGATCAATTTTTCTCTCTGTTTTATCTTTACATTCTTCTGGTGGAAAATAGAAACTAGAGCTTTCTGGGCATGTCTTCATGAGAAGCTACCCTTAAAAAGGAAAAGAAAATATATTACATTTTTTAAAAATTTTAGCATATTTCAGACAAAAAGATTAAAAGCTTTTACATGGATTATAAAATGTTACATTTCTTTGAAAATGTTTTTAATCCCATTAAAATGTAATTTGAGGATGTAAGCATCTTTAAGCCTTATTCAGAAAAATTATTTGCACGTAAAACCTTTTTAAAGATAAAATTTTTAAGAAGGGGATTATCTATTATGAATGCCTTCAAAGGCTTTCTGAACAGTCTCAGATGAGATTTGTATTTCGCTCCACTGCTACGATTATTGCTAAAGAGCTTTTGCATGAAGTTCCCATGTTTAACCATGTATTTGAACTATCGTACAACAGATCTGGCATTCATGCATATAAGCGACGAACGTTGCATAAATATTTTTGTTCGTTCTTCACAGAGAAGTCTGTTGTACTTTACAATCAGACAGGAGAGTAACATTATTAATGAAATGTCTAGACTAGATTTTACCTAAGATAATTGTTTTAAAGCAAACACATTACACTTTGTTGCCAAAAAAAAAAAAAAAATTGAGAATTACGCACTTTTGACAAATGTTACAACACTAACCTTGGATCATACAAACCATAAGGAATTTGAAATTTTGCAAATATTCCCTCACCACATTCGCTCTTTACTACAAAAGGTGCCTGGAAGCTGTATACTCACTCTCGGCACAAATGGAAGCAGGTCTCCTGACCCTTTATTTATTAAGTATTGGAAGTAATGCTTTATTTATGATAGTTTTTCCCCTTGGTTCTGTAGATTGAGAATTTGGTCAGTTGAAAACTTCCTTTTCATAAGAGGTGAAAGACTTTCAATCTTAAAAAGATAGAAGTCAGGTTGCTAATGAAAAATATGTGCAGAAAAGTAAAGAAAATTTTCTATTATAAATATACCAAGCTTTCAGTAGCTCAGTGATGAGGGATAATCAAAAGGACAAAATATACTTTTATTTATTTACTGTTGTTGTCATCCTTTGGAATTTTTTATTATGGAAAGTTCAAACATGTAAGGAGGGCAAATATAATGACCCTCATGTTTCATTATGTAACTTGAATACATATCACTGTTTTGCTCTCGTGTTCTATGTATTCTTCATATACACCATTTTTTTAAATTAGATTTTAAAGCATACCTGGATACCATATTTTTAAAACTGTGAACACTCCAGTATGCATCTCTAACAGATAGGAAATATTTTTAGTAATGCCATGTCTTTATCACATTACAATAATAATTTTACAAAATCATTTGCTGCCTAGTCCATATTTAAATTTCTCTGGTGGTCTTAAAAATGCCTTCTTAGGGGCGCCTGGGTGGCGCAGTCGGTTAAGCGTCCGACTTCAGCCAGGTCACGATCTCGCGGTCCGTGAGTTCGAGCCCCGCGTCGGGCTCTGGGCTGATGGCTCAGAGCCTGGAGCCTGTTTCCGATTCTGTGTCTCCCTCTCTCTCTGCCCCTCCCCTGTTCATGCTCTGTCTCTCTCTGTCCCAAAAATAAATAAACGTTGAAAAAAAAAAAATTTAAAAAAAAAAAAAATGCCTTCTTAGAGTGGTTTCCTTTTTGAATGAGGATCCAAACAAGGTATATTTGTTACATTTGGTTATTATGTCTCCTAAGTCTCTTTCACCCTTTCTCTACTCCCTTTTTAAGTGTTATTGATTTGCTGGAGTACTTGCCTCCTTCATCCTGGTCCACATTCTGCATTTAACTGGTTGCTTCCATTCTGTAATTTTTAACTGGTTTCTCTATGTCCTACATTTCCCGTGAAAAAATATGCAAATTTGGAAGCTGCATTAAATTTAGATTCAGCTTGTGTGGGGAAATAAAACTTTATAGATGGCACTGTGTATTTCCTAAACCTCACGAAAAGAGGTACATAAATGGCTGGCATCACGCTTAGTGATGTTAAGACTGTTTGGTGTGCCTGGGTGGTCTCAGTCTGATCCCTCCATTATAAAATTCACCATCAAATTTTCACTTAATAGTTCTCACATCTATTGATGATTATTGCCCAGCTCCATTATTTCATACGGAGCTTATAAAATGGCAATTTTACATTCTAGATACATTCTAGATATAACCTAATTCAGTTTTCTTTCTTCATTTTTTTAGCTGAAATTCTACAATAAAGAATTTTTTTATTTTTAAAATTTTCCCAATATACTATTTTTAGGAAGGGCAGGATAAATTCTCATTGTAATAAATTGGTGCTCTGATAATCTCCAGTTGTGACCTATAATATTGTTTTATGATAACTAACAGTGTATTGATTTCATATTTTTATATTTTTAAAGTTTAGTTTTGAGACGGAGAGAGAGAAAGAGAGCGCGCGTGCCAAGCGGGGCAGAGAGGGGCAGGGAGAGAGGGCGACAGAGGATCTGAAGCGGGCTCTGTACTGACAGCAGAGAGCCCGATGGATGTGTGAGATCAGACCTGAGCTGAAGGCAGACGTTTAACTGACTGAGCCACCCAGAAGCCCCAACTGTTGTATATTTAATGAGGTTTAATCAGTATATCCCTTATCCCACCCTTATGATCCTTCTCATTAGCTAGTTTGCTTATGGTCGGCTGTTTACCTTGGTTCACTATTGAACTGTGAATTTCTTGAAGTCAGGGTTTATGTTATTCTTTGGTTATTCATAGCAGAATGATTTACATTGAATACACAGTCAGTAATGATTGTGGCCCTGGATTGAATAGACTCAAGTTCTGTGTAGAATATTTAGCCTGGAGGAGGCCAGGAGAGTTAGTCTGATTTAGGCCCTTGTCATCAGGCAAGTATATTTCTAAACCATCTCGGGTAGATAAAATATATCACTGTGTATCTTAAAGATCTCTAGGGACAAAGATTCCAGAACATCTCCTGGAAGGCTATTCCACGTAGCCCTTTTAAAACTTTTACCTCATCCTTTAGATAAATGTGTTCTTTTTATAATTTCCTTTCCTTCTAGTATTCTAGTGGAAAAGAAAAAAAGTTCCTCTTCTTTCCCTTTCCATCTTTCTTTCTGCCAAAGGATCTGTGTGCTTCTGCTTTGATTACTTCAAAATGAACTTGCATTTCCAAGTTACATGTTATTCTGTGGTTGCGTAAGTTTATTACTTATCGTCTTTCCTAATGATTGAATTTATGTTAATTGCTCCTAATTGATGAAGCAGCTATTAGTTTTTTATTGCTGCTATAACAAATTACCAGAAGTTTGGTGACTTAGAACATCACAGACGTATTATCTTACAGTTCTGTGTGTCAGAAACCCAACGTGGCACTCTCTCTCTGGGGTGAAATAAAGGTGTGGGCGGGGGTGAAAAGTCTTCCAGAGGCTCTGAGGGAAGAACTGTTTCCTTGCTTTCTGCAGCTCCTAGAGGCTTCCGCATTCCCCTTCCACCTTCCAACAACAAAAGTGAGTCAACTGCTTCTTATTCCACAACGCTCTGAATTCATCTTCTGCCTCCCTCCTCCACTTTAAAAGATCCCTTGTGATTATATTGAACCCAGCTGGATAATCCAGGATGCTCTCCCTATTTTAAGAGCAGCTCATTAGCAACCTTATTTATATCTGTAACCTTAATTCTCCTTTGTCATGTAACCTATTTACAGGTTCTGGGGATTAGGATTTGGGCAAACTTTGAGGGACCTTGATTCTGCCTGCCGCAAACTGCCGTGTTTGATATTTGTGTCTCTCTTATTTGTGCCACCAGTTTATTGTATGATCATTCTCAATTCTGTTCATCTGTAGAATAGCAATAAAATCTATTTTCCACAGATGTGATGTGGGTGCACTTAGTGAATTCAAGATTATAAAGTGATGAGTTGAAATCCCTTGAGTGCAAGCTGCTGTACAAGAGCAAAGAATTATTGCTTTGTGAAAAGAGCATAACTTACAGCCTCTCCTCTTACTTTCTTCTGTAATGAGATAGTAGCCTTTGTCAGTTGCATTGATCTATATGAAAACAGATTAACTTATTTTCATTTTCCAAATAATGTTAAGTGCCGCATTGTGACATGTTTCATTTGTTTGATGTGTTGAAAAGAGTCCGCCATGGAAATGAGAAGCTGTTGATCATTCAGAAATACTCAAGTTAGCATTTAGTGACCTGTGGACTAAATCTCTCTTACTAAATAATCAGTTATAAGTATTTCTATATTTATTTTAATAGTGGTCTCTCTTATCGAAAGAGGCATTTTCAGAAGTTACATACTGGTCTTAAGTGTAAAACTAAAAAACAAAAAAACATTCCCCTTTGCTATTTATTCATATAGAACTTCTGCAGAAAAATTTATTTCATCAAAATCTTCTAAGATTTTAGTAGATTAATTGGAGCCGTGAAAAAAAAAAAAAGGTAGTATTTTGCCAGGGGACTATTCATACATATTAATGGCCGTGAGAGTGCTGCAATGATGTAATAAAACATGATTCACATTTAGAAGATCTAGGTTCCTATATCCTTTTTTTTCTTAAACACATCTCATAAAAGTTCTCATTTCTGGTTTACACATCCAGGCATTGCTTTGTCACTTTTAGCGCTCAGCTGTTGGTAATTTTACAAACATCCAATAAAGTAAAATATG